CTGGCAGCTTACTGGGACATAACCCAAAATAACTTACATGTTTCATATATTGCTAATTATTTTTCTGAGGCTGGCTCAGGCTGGTAAGAGAGATTTCAAGGCTCTCACCAGATTATTTACTTAAAGAAGTTAAGCATGGCATTATCTGTTCCCATGGAAACACAGTAAGACAGGAGACAGAAGAGGAGGTCACTTCGGCCATAATTAATGTAAAGAATAATGGTTTATGTAGAATCTAGTAAAGAATATAACAAGATGCTGCAATACCTTTAAGCCTTTTCTTCAGCAGTGCAGTTCAATCTTTGGATTGATTTTCATACACTAGTGTCACTTTGGTCGTTTTTTAGTCTAGTGCTAAGTTTTTGAAGTATAACAATCTTGCCTAGCAAAATTTTTCCAATATTATTATTTCATTTTTGATCCAATCAGAAAATTCCAGTATTCAGAATATTTCTAAAGTACTGAGTAAGTAGAAATGGATGACTATGCTGGCCTTAAGCTTCTTGTGAATACTACAGCTCCTCACCATGTTTTCTTAATAAATACATAAGTGGGTGGTTGGTGAATTAATTGATGTAATCCAGAGGCACCACTAGATTCACCAGTGCCTTTAAAATCACCAACAGAAGATTTAATCACCTTCAGTCCGGTTTACATTTAAGGTGTCTAATTCTATTCTTTTTTTTTTTTTTTTTGAGATGGAGTCTCGCTCTGTCACCCAGGCTGGAGTGCAGTGGTGCGATCTCGACTTACTGCAGCCTCCGCCTCCCGGGTTCACGCCATTCTCCTGCCTCAATCCCCCGAGTAGCTGGGACTGCAGGTGCCCATCACCACGCCTGGCTAATTTTTTGTATTTTTAGTAGAGACGGGATTTCACTGTGTTAGCCAGGATGGTCTCGATCTCCTGACCTGATGATCCACCCGCCTCGGCCTCCCAAAGTGCTGGTGTTACAGGCATGAACCACTGCGTCTGGCCTAATTCTATTCTTTTTTTATTAGCGGAAATTGGTAATCCACATGGGGTGTCTCTTAGATATTCCATTTATTGGCACCCAGTGCACTCCTTAGGAATTCTTACCAAAAGATGCACACTGTACTTTTTTTTAAAATCCTTATGCCTATTTGGATAGTGGATTCATTGTACAGTCTCATAAGGTAAATTTTATCATGGAAGATTGATGACACATTTTTCCAAAACTCTTTAATTTAGTACAGTATTCCAGAAAGAACTAAAGAGAAAGAGAGAAATGAAAGAGTTGCCCTTTCCAATTTCTGAATTTTTAATACACTGAGAAATTATGTTAAGTCAGAAATTATTAGGATTTTTTTCTGTTAGAGCTCTAGCCCAAGAAACATAATATAAGCTCTTCCAGGCAGGCTTGTCTGAGGAATAGATTCAGGGCTGCAGTATGACACTGAGTGATGTTTACAAACAGGTGGCCTGAAGCTAAGTGGAGTCAATATACAATTTCTCACCCTTTAGAAGATAACTACTTGCTGTCACATGAGTAACGAACATTTTTTTGTAAAAATCAAGCTTGAAATCGTTTAATCAAGAATGTAAATCAGTTATGTGCCCCCATTATAAAAATGTTGATGGGATTTGCTATGGTATTGATTTTTTTTTTTATTTTTTTGGTGGGGGGAATTACAGCTGTTACAGGTTTTTTTAATATGACGATATCACATTCCTATTCCGGGAATGCAAACAATATTATATCCTGCTTGGCAGGCACTGTGGCCACTTGGCTTAGCCAAGAATAAGAACACTCAGCAGTACCATTCCATAGGTTTGTAAGAGATCCCCTAAAATAATGGATGGTATACTTTCCTGTATGTATTTATGTTCAGATAATTTATTTAAATAATGCTGCTGGCACATGCTTTATAGCTGCTTGCATTTTGCTATACAGATTTCAGCATATCTTGCAGACTATGCAATTCATTTGGAAAATGTAATTTCCATCCCTGCATACTAATCGATTTCTTCACAAACACCTGCTATCAGTTATGATAATAAAAATGCCACTCTGAATTGAAAAAGGGCCAAATAGAGCTTCCTAAGGAAATGACTTAAGTGTCTTTGAATGCTACTAAATGTAGTAATGTGCCTGTGTAGTGCCAACACTTTTTTCATCATTTGCATTTTCTGTGATTTTGCCCTATTACAACATCCCTCTCACAAATGATTTCTCATAACCATTTCCTTCTGGCTTGGTAAACGGAGCTGTCAGGAGGTGGTATCTCAGGATGTGGACAAGATCCGAAGCTGGGCTGCACAGTGTTAGAAGGCACTGGCTCATGCCGTGGGGTACATGCTGGATAATTTCTGATTTTATGAGTAAGTCTCTGAAAGCTGTAAAAGTGGCTGCTCCTTGGTTTTGCACACACATACACCAAATAAAATCTCCTTTATTCATTCTCTTCAGCCTCCAGTTCATTCCATGCACCATTGCCAAACTAATGTTCCTAAGTCCCAATTTCATCATGTCCTTCCGGCACCCCAAGCACTGTCAGTGGTTCTCAATTGGCCGCTCCATTGAACCTAAGCTTCCCCATCGTCTCCCATCACCTGACGTGGATCACCTTTCTCTCACTGCTGCCAGGCAAACACTTGGGTTTTGCTCAAGTTTCTCTCCTTCTTGCCCCAAGTATTCTACCTTTGATTTTCATCTCTGGGCTTTTGCTTATGCTCTGGCTCCTGACTGAGAGACATCCTTCCCAAGTTCTTAAGTTTTTCATCTTCCAAAGCCCTCATTTATTCCTTCAGTCTGAATTTTTCTTTCTCTTCTCTGAACTCCTATAGGATACTTTTTTTTTGTCATGCATCTAGACTCATTTATTCATTTATTCATTCAACCAACGTTTATTGAGTGCCTGCTGTATTCCAGACATCACATTATCCTTTCTTCCTTTGAAAGCAATCGTTTCTTCTTAAATGTGTCAGCTTCTACTAGATTTTAAGCTCTTTGAGAGAACAGATGTATTCTGTCTCCTCTTTTTGTGGTCTGAGATGCCCACACAGACCTGAGCACAGGTAAATATGCAGTAAATGCCTGTTAAGTAATTGATCCCTACTGACTTGAGGTAGGGAAATGTCTGGGTAATTGCATGTTCTTTTGATTAGTAGTTCAGTGTGTACCACACAGAGATTATTTTGCAAGATGGAATATTGTAAAACACTCAACTATAAAACTATTATTAACATAATTTGACGTTTGATATTTGAGGAGAGAATTCACTATGGTCTCAGAGCACCTCGGTAAAGCTTTATCACCATGGAACTGTAATGTGCGGGTAGAACACCCAGGAGGCGACCTTGATTTGGTCCTCTAACACGGGAAACGGGCTGCAAACGTGCATGCACCGACACCCTGGTGTGCAGTGGGCTCCACACCGTGCCCTTATCTACTGGAAGTTACATGTTTGAAGTTTCTGGTAACAAGCGTTTCAAATTTGCTTTCACTTTTCTCTTGCTTACACAAGTGGAGAATGGCTTTTCTGTGAGGGGGAAGATTAAAGGGAGACTTGTGGGAGAGTTGGTGGGGGAATGTGAGACTGGTTTTGAACAGCCTGGTAAGAACTGAACACATGGACCGACGTAATCAAGAGCAGAGACTCTGGAGCCTGCCTGCAGCCTGGGTGTGAAGGCTTTCTGCTACTTACTTTGTGGGATTGGATGAGTTACGTAACTTCTCTGTGCCACATTTTTCTCATCTGTAAAGACGGGGATAAGACCAGCACCGGCATCACAGGCTTGATGGGGCTATGAAGTGAGTGAGTTCATACAAAGCTCATGGTCCAGTACTTTGTGAGTGCCCAGCAGGCTATGTTGATTTTTGGAGAGCCCCCTAAGCAATAAGATAGAAACTAGGGAAAGGGATTCCCTACCCTCAATCTTTGTTTTGTACCATTTGTTTTCTTTTTCAGTTTCGGCTATTTCTGAAACCTTGAGATGTGTGATACCCCGAGTTAACTGTCTTGGTTTCTTAATAAGATGGACATATGAATGAAGTCTGAATCTAAATGTGGAGAATTGGGGGTTTCAGGGAGAGGTATTAGAGTAACCAGTCAGCCTTGCAGAGGAAAAGAGTTTTAATCTGTTGGTGAAACAGATGGAACTAGGTTCCCATTCTGATCGGAGTTGGAGGAAAACAATCTGTGCAATTTGTCCCAGCAGTAGAGCAGGAAGGAATGGTGTGCATATAAATTCCTCTGTCCCCTGGGAGGCTGCCGCATGTCTCAACCTGTAGAACTGCTGTTTATTTGAAAGAAAGCAGCCCGGCCGGGCGCGGTGGCTCAAGCCTGTAATCCCAGCACTTTGGGAGGCCGAGACGGGCGGATCACGAGGTCAGAATCAGAGAACATTCCTGGCTAACACGGGTGAAACCCCGTCTCTACTAAAAAAAATACAAAAAACTAGCCGGCGAGGTGCGCCGCCTGTAGTCCCAGCTACTCGGGAGGCTGAGGCAGGAGAATGGCGTGAACCCGGGAGGCGAGCTTGCAGTGAGCTGAGATCCGGCCACTGCACTCCAGCCTGGGCGACAGAGCGAGACTCCGTCTCAAAAAAAAAAAAAAAAAAAGAAAGCAGCCCTCCAAGGAGCTAAGCAATCCTGTAGAAAGGGGGAAGACAATATTTAGTAGATATGATCATTGCCTGGAATTCTGAATGTTGTCACCACCTAGCACCACATACCAATGTCTGTGAGGGTGTCCAGCATTGAGGGAGAGGTCAAGGGACAAGAATTTGGGAGGAATTAATCCCGTGCCCATAAGAAACATTCATACGTAAGACAGGACAAACAGAATAGATAAAAGTTCCGAGAGAAGTGATGCATACTGACTACAAAACAGATAGCCCCGGGGTAAGGCATTCTGCTTTTATTTCTGAGCTGGTACCAACATTAAGAACTTGGGCGGCAGACTCCCTTTCCCACAGAAGGCCTCCTCAAGCTAAGCAAGAAGGTAACTCACTTGAACTCATTCTGTTTGTCCTTTAGCTCTGGCTGCTCAGGCCTACGCTCTGAAAGAGGAGAATGACAGTCTCCGCTGGCAGCTGGATGCCTACAGGAATGAGGTGGAGCTGCTGAAACAAGAAAAAGAACAGCTCTTCCGAACAGAAGAGAACCTCACCAAGGACCAGCAATTGCAGTTCCTGCAGCAAACCATGCAAGGCATGCAGCAGGTACCTGGCCCAGATGGTTTTGTGAGAGAAAGGGACATGTGTATTAAATGAAAATGGAAAGGCAGCTGCATGCTGGAAAGGGTGAAGGAGAAGAAATGACAACCAAAAAGCTAAGTTGTTAGGACAGAAAAGTGCTAATGACTGTTTGTGGAAGGGTAGAATCTAGAGAAAAGCCAAGCCAATTACTTTTCCTGTATTGCACTTAGGATCTAGTCAGGTTCTGTGAGCACACTACGTGTTTAAGAAATGTTTGTGTATGGAACAGATGAAGCATCAGAGTTTTGGGAGACAGGTAACTTTAGAAAGAGGACAATAGCTGTGTTTCTGTTGAAGAGTGCCAGACTTCATCCTAGCATACTGAATTTAAAGATGTGTATTTATGGCAATTGTTAGGAAATGAAAGTTGAGGGCTTTGGAGGATAGAAAAGGAACAGGGACTGTGGGAAATAAAATGTTGACGAGGGGGAAAATTGACTGTTGGCAGTGAGGGAATAGAGTCAAAGATTCACAGCCAAATTTGTATCTGAAAACCTCAACTGGTACATGATATTCTTAAGGTGTTTGGGCCTTTGAGTTACCTTAGAATAATAGAGCATAAATTATCATCATGGGGATTTTTAAATTACTCCTCTGAATATACAAATCCAATCAATATTTTCTTTAAAAAAGATCGTTTTTATTTAAACAAGGGAAATATAAGTAGAATGATGGAAAGTTAATATGCAGAGAGTCAATTTTTTTTTAATTCCCCCATCCCTATTGACTGCTCTGTAACATACAGAGCATGGATTGCCTACAGAAGTATCTTAGTGATTAGAGGTAACTACTACAGAAACATCAGCCTAACAGGGAAAAATAATTGAGAGGGAGAGTATAAAAAAGAATCACGGATTGGGAAGTGAGAAAGTTAATGACCAACTCGCACAAATTATGTCTTAAACATCTCCTGCCATTTTAAAGCAATTTTTGAGTTTTGGCTTAGAGTCCTAACTGGTTGATGTTCACAGTGTGTGTTAGACTAATCAGTGAGATTCAGAGGTCAGAGCCAGCCAGGAAAATGTCACTACAGTTATTGCTCAGGTCTCTGTACTTGGAAATCAATGTAACAGCTGCTGTGTGAGACTTCTGGGGTTGTCCATATGCCCCAACATTGGGTGTTTGTCGGCGCCCTCACCAAGATGAGAGGCCATCGAGTTCCCCAAAGGCCGTGACGCCAGACCTAGCCCAAAAGCCACTGTGCCACGCTTTACACAACTCTCCCTCTTTCCCTCTAGAAAAGATTACCCCAGTTGCTTTAAAGGTATATAAAGTATTTTAGGTTATTGCAGATTCAAATCAAAAAGAAGTCAGAGGAGGCGAGGGCGAGCTGCTCGGTCAGGGCTGCAGAAGCACTGAGGAGCCACGTGCCTGGTCCGCACAGGAGCAGTGTTCCAAATCACCACCTGAGCCATCCTCCTGAACGAGGGATTCAGTTAAGGGAGCTTCTCATCTCTTTTCAGCATCTCCTTGTCAGTAGGAAATGTACTTTATATAACTAAAAATGTAGTTGAGACAGAAACGTATTATCTCTCAGTTCTGAAGGCTACAAGTCCAAGATCTGGGGTCCAAGAGCAGGGTTGGTTCCTTCCGAGGCTGTAAGGAAGAGTCTGACTCCTGCCTCTCTCCCAGCTTCTGGAGGTTGGTTGGCAATCTTTGGCCCTCCTTGACTTGTAGACACATCACCCTGCTCTCTGCCTTCATCATCCTGTGTCATTCTCCGTGTGTGTGTGTCCAAATTTCTGCTTTTTATAAGGACACAATTCATACAGGATTAGCGGCCCACCTGCTCCAGTATGACCTCATCTTAATTACTTATATCTGCAAGGACTTATTTCCAGATAAGGTCCTAGTAGGGGCTAGGACTTCAACATTTGGATTTGGGGCTGGGGGGCAGGGCACAATTCAATCCGTAACAGACACATAGTGGACAGTCAAAATATCTATGTCAGATGAAGCAATGAATAGACAAAGGCCTGGAGGCAGGCCTAGCATGGTGCCTGTGGGAGCTCTGGACTGTGTGGGATCCTGGATCATGAAAAGCAAGACAGGGAGCGGGAGAGCCAAGGCCTGAGAGGTGTGTGTGGTGCCTCCTTAACCTACAGAAAGCACTAGGTCCCTGGTGGCTGCTGTGATTTTAATATTTACTGGTGGTTAGGCGGATGTATGGCTATCTCTGCGGCAGAACATTTTTAACAGAGTTTTAAAATATAGGTGCTTTTTAAAGTCTTATTTCTATCATGACCTACCATGTGTGAATAAATTACCGCAATTCGCTAATTTGAATCCCACCACAAAGAACTAGCCTGACTTTAAAACCTACCTTCAATCTCCACACTATCTACTTTATAAATCAGAAAATCATGGGTTTCACATGAAAGATGACAGAGAGAGGAGGGGTCAGCCTCCCATATGTCACCATTTCCACAGTCTATGTTTGGGAAATCATTCCTGTAACAAACAATGAAAAAAGAAACAGCCTTCATGACCTGAGGACTAGCAGACAGCTTTTGGAATCGCCTTCAAATTTAGCCAAAAAGTCTCTAACCTTTCTTTCTTTAACCCCTTAAGGATATGATCACTGACATCACACAGTTTTTCATGTGTTCCTGAAGAAAACGCTATGGGCAGGGTTCCTAACATGGAAAAACCCTTGGGTGACTTTGTCTGGATGTTTCTGAGTTTACCCCTGCGCCATGTGAGTCACAATTTAATGATACGAAAGGTTTCATACAAAAGAGAATAACAGCTTGTATCCATGGTAACACAGTAGCCTTTACCTGATCATAAACTGGCAGTGAAGTTAACTTGTCTCTGCCTCAGGGATAGTGAGGCTTTTGACTTTCATTTGTAACTTTAGGTGTACAGGGAAAGACTATACATATTTTTAACTCTTATTTTTCTTCAGGTTACCACACTGAATTCTTTCATTAGGTTTATTGAGGTAAAATTTACATACAATGAAATACATTCTTTTTAGACATACGTTCTGTGAAGTTTGACAAATGCATACAGTCACACAACCACCGCTACCACCATCTATATATAAATCAGTTCCATCACTCATTCCCTCTTGCCCCTTTTGATTCAACCCCACTCCCAGCAACCACTGCTCTGTTTTCTACCCTTATAGTTTTTCTTTTTCCAGAATATCATATAAGGGGAATTGAACAGCATGCAACCTGTTGAGTTGGGCTTCTTTCTTTAGCATAATACATCTGAGACTGATCCATGTTGCTGTACGTATCAGGCTATTCATTCCTTCTGATGCTGAGTAGTATTCCACCATAAGAAAGAGCTGTGGTTTGTCTGTCTAGTCAATAGTTAGTGGATGGATAGTTTCCAGTTTGGGACAAATAGGAATAAATCTGCTATAAACATTCACTTACAGGCTTTTTGCTTAGACATAATTTTTCATTTTACTTGAGTAAATCCTAGGAATATGATTGTTGGGTCATATGGCAAGTGTGTTTTCCTTTCAGAGAAACTGCCAAAGTCTTTTCCCAAGTGTCTGTACCATCATACATTCCCTCAGGACTGTCTGCAAACTCCAGTTCTGCATCCTCATCAGGTAGCACTGGCAGGGTCAGTTTGTCTTTTTTCATCACTGTAGTACATTTGTAGTGATATCTCATTATGGTTTTATTCACATGTAAATTTGCAGTATTTTTATTTTCATTCATGAGGGTAGGTCAACATGTCATAATTTTTGAATAATCCACTTAAAAATCAGAATTCTTTTTGAAGCCTTGTGTAAATCATATTGACAGGACTAATAAATATTTGGATAACAGCAGGATACCATTAAAAACTGCTGATCGTAAAAGTGTGTATGACTAATGATGATTATGTCAGAAGGCTTCTTCCTAAATACTTTAAGGGGGTGCTTTTGAACAGTATTAAATCTAGTCTGAAGACCAGCTGTCTTAGACCAGCAAGCCATTGGCCCATATGGTGCAGTGGCTCTCTCACACTCTTAGCTTGACATTAGTAAGGCGCAGGCCTGGTCCACTGTCTTGACAACTTTCAGCAAGGGAGGATCAGGAAAAAAAAATGGGAAAAGTAAGATGATGATGATCAAAAGCATTTAGAAATTAAGTGACAAGCATTTTTTTCTTTATAGTCAAAGTAGAACATATGTGTGATTTTCTGTGTGTGCATTGTTAAAATCTCACCCACTTAGACTAATTTTATGGAAGATGAAGAAATATAACATTACTACTTTCCTAAAATACAAAGTAACCCCATTTAGTTTTGTCAGCATATTGGGTAAGAGTCAGACTTTGGAATATCTATTAAGGAGTAAATGAAACTAGTTTTGAAATTAAACATAGTGATTACATCTGACCCCTTGGGTAAGTTCAGCATGTCTTCTGCAATCTTGTTGAAACTATTTAGTTGCTTAGTAAGTACTTTTTTTTTTAAGAGAAGGAGAAAAGCTTGCATTCAATTCCTCCCCAAAATTCACATGTAATTAAGTCTGATGTTATATGTCAAAATCAAGATCATAATAATGTTAGCGGTGGTGGTGATGGTGGCTGTGGAGATGAAGGGACTGTGGAGGTGATGGTTGCCATGGTGGTAGAGGTGACTGCAGTAGTGATATTGGCTCTGGAGGTGAGGGTGATTGTGGTGAGGATGGTGGCTGTGGTTGTTTTGGTGACTGTGGTGGGGGTTGTGATGAAGGTAGCTGTGGTGGAGAAGGTAACTGTGCTCGTGAAGGTAACTGTGGTGGCGAAGGTGGCCGTGGTGGGGGTGCTGGCTGTGGTTGTGTTGTTAGCTATGGTGGTAAAGGTAGCTGTGGTGGCTGTGGTAGTGATGGTGACTGTAGTGAGAGGATGGTGACTGATGGTAATGTCAACTGTGGTGATGAAGGCATCGGTGAGGGGGATGATAACCTCCGTTGTGTTGCTGGCTGTGGTGAGAATGGTGGCTATGGTAGTGAAAATGGCTGTAGTAGCTGT